AAGTCAATGCTTTCCATATAGGATGGTCTCACATGGGCAGCGTTCGATAGCGCAGCTTGTAAACTTTGTGCTATGAGGTGGGGAGTTGGCATAGGGTAAGTAAGCATGCTGTCTTATACAAAGCTGAATGTTTGTCTGTCTGTCTGTGTGTACGTATGTTCCAAATAAAAAATTCTGTTTTTGAACCGACTTGGACTAAACTTTGCACACCTATACTTCGGTGCGGGGCGGATGTTACAGGCTTATCGATTTTTTATAAATTTTGAGCTGCGCGGCCGAAAGTTGGCACAGGGGGGTAATGAGCATGCTGATCTTATATACAGGGTGTCCGTAAAGTATGTATGCACTGTTTGATCATTAATATCTCCGTTCCCAGAGGGTCTTTTGCCGAGCTTTAAGCACCATACTGTAGAGCTGTCTTCAACTTAGATTTACAGTATAGAGCGAATCAGCGATCACTCACTGTTACTGTAGGATTACGGTAGAAACTTGAAACATATGGTGTCAATGTGGAAAAAGCTGTCGCTTCAAAATTTTTCAAAAAAATTTGAAAACTTGTGTAATAGGGTTTTTATGGACGCTGAGTTCAATACTCAACTATTCACAAGATTGCGAAGCTTTTTAAACGGGGTAAACGCACTTTTTAGGAACATTGAAAAAATGGCCGCTACCTCTTACCTGGCATAACTCTTCAATGAAGCATCATAATAAGTTGGGAACTTTACAATTAGAGTCAGCAACTCTAATTAGCTTAGTGTAAAAGTTTCAGGCTGTTTTGTTTCCTTTCTGAGGTAAAATACGGCCTTCCATGGCTCAAAACCCCTTTGAAGTTCCTACCGTAATCCTACAGTAATGAGAGGAGACCGGCGATTCGCTCCATACTGTAAATCTAAGTTGAAGCCAGCTCTACAGTATGGTGCTTAAAGCTCGGCAAAAGACCCCCTGGGAACGGAGATACTAACGATCAAACAGTGCAAACATACTTTACGGACACCCTGTATGGTGCTGGCCAAAAGTAAGCACTGTCGGGACGCAGCTAGCTACAACAGCTGCTCGAGAAGGAGGTTGGCCGAAGACAGCCAACCTCTGGCAGTGACCTCCGGCCGCCAGCACTAGCCGGTGGCCTTCCCCTTCCCCTTTCCCCTTTTGTATATAACTATTTATAATAAATATTATAGTAAGACTTATGTAAACCCGCTACACATCAGGCAAGGGAATAACTAACCCTTTTACCTGACAGCACCCATTTTGGAAAGTTGATATATCTTATTCTTTTTTGCCTAGAACGGCTCTGAATTTCGATATGTGCAAATAAGACTGCTTAACAGCATCTCAAAAATTTTTGCAGTTTTATGCACACAGGATGAGCCACTGGGGAGAATGACGAAAACGCCAAAATCGAGACCGGTCAAAAACTTGCAGCCACTTTCTTCTAAACGTCTTCGAAAACTTGTCACCTTCTAGTATCTGGGCTACAGATGCACCCCTAAGCTCTGAGATACGCAGTGCAACTAGCGTTCATCAACCTTCAAAAAGGAGACTTTGTAGAGCAAATTTAAATCTTAAAGGCCGCAGAAATTGGGCAAATCATTAGGTTGTTGAGAATTAATCGTCTGGTCCTATGGAAAGGTTGTACATATGGACGTTTGCTGGCGGTTTGCGAACGTTACAGAGATAACATTACTTGGCATGTTTCAATCTCTACCGCCATTCTAACTCAGATTCGGAGCACCTTTCAGCGAAAAGTTGCACAATAATCACATCTAGGAAACGTTGAGCTATGTGGTTGGCCGGCTGAGGGAAGGGGGATAAGGTGAGCATGCTGACTACGAACAAAATACAAGTTATTAAAAGTATCCATTGCTTTTATCAATTTTATCGACTTGCAAACTTTCAGCTTCGGGACTGCTTCACTTCAAATGCTTCAAAATGAGTCCGATGGAGAATTTCTTCCTCTTTACAGCAGCTAAACTCACATTGTGTTCCGTTGCGAGAATGATGAGATATATGTTGGAAACTGCAACCACTCGTTTTTACCATGTCCAACTTTCGCTAATTTTCAAAATTTTTGTATGAGACTTTTGGGGTGGTTCTAATAACCACCAGATAGGGCAAACCTTTTGCCGAATTATGCAATTTTTTTCTATTTTTCAGCTGCTTTTTTTTGTTAAATAATTTTCTAACAGTGTTGCTTTTTGAAAAAAAATCGCATAACCTGTTATTGCACCTAACTGCAAACCTACAGAATACTGAGGTTTCAACACTCGATTATTACCACCGCTACCATTACAAAGTAAATGAGCGACTTTCGCTTCAAATTATGAAGATTTTGGAACATAGGTTACGTCAGTGCGCACTCCTGAGATTGAAAAATACTGCAGTTTTTTCCACAAAATTCGCCTGTCTCGGTGAAAAAAGACAAGTGTTAGAAGGAGGAGAAAAAGTTGCATCGAATGGTGATTGAAGTGTTTAACATTTTATGTCCTACAAGGATAAAATAGGCTGAATTTAAAATTTGGTCACTTCAAAAAATAAATCGTAGAAATTTGGAGAGACAAGCCGTAGGGCTACAAAAAATTGCACTAGTTGGCAAAAGGTTTGCCCTATCTGATGGTGATTAGGGCTCTTCCGAAAGTCCCATACAAAAATTTTGAAAAATTAGCAAAATTTGGGCGTGGTAAAAACGAGTGGTTGCAATTTCCAGCAAATATCTCGTCACTCTTGCAACGATACACAATGGGAGTTTAGCAGCTAGAAAGAGGAAGAAATTCTGCATTGGATACATTTTGAAGCTGTTGTTTAATATCATTCTAGCGTGTTTGCTGATGGATTGAAAAAACTGACAAAACTTTTGCACCAACCTAATAGTTGTTTTTCGAAGCTGCGATACGTCGACCCCGGAAAAAAATTTAGTGAAACTATGAAATAGTGTCGGGTGAAACGTCTTCATGGAAGTGTAGGCTTTCTGAATCGAAGTCAATCGAGTCTATCAAGTCGCCATCATCTGCAGCATCGTCCAGCGATCCGTTTTTTTGTGCGCTAACTCTTAGATCTCATCCCTTTTTTTCGTCCGTCAAATCTTTCTCGCTATGTGACGGTTGAAAATCTTCTTCCAAATCTTCATCTCTTGAGGTATGTTCCTTGTCTTTACTTGTGATCCTCGAAGAGCGTTGGTAGGTATACGAGTCGCTATTCGGATTGTTCACTTTTCTTGTAGTAATCCACCAAAAATTGTCTATCTAATCGCTTCTTACGTCTGCCATTATTTAGCCTCAACACGGATGTGGATCTCATCAGTTTGTCGTGTAAACTGTTGATCAATGTGGCGTCTATGAGAGGACGATATGTAACACGTCTAGCTTCCATAGCATTCACAGCAAGACTGTCGGATTTTTGGATGGTCAAGGAGATTGATGCGACAGTGTCAAGAGCCCTCAAAACATGCTTCATCATCAGGAAAACGCGTCCGTCTCCCATTACCCAGAAAGCAACCTTTGCTCCTTCACGTGTATTCATTGAAATGCTTGTGTCCATGCCCACCCTATGCAAACTCTCTATCAACACAGGCCACATCAGGACAACAATATTACACCCCTCCTAAAATTGACACTCCATCGATAGCGAAGAATTGCCCCATCTACAAACAGCTGAAAGACATCAAATTTTCCACTTCCCTGTAATGTCTTCGAGCTGAGGAGGACCGTGTAGCTCCAAAAAGTCCGTGTGCATTTACATGATAAGAGCAAGCTTGTAACCGGAATGCTTTAAGTCTTTCATTGCAAGGTTCAGTTTGTGGGCAGCACACACAGAGAGGAGCAATGATCTGGATGAAGTTGAACTTTGCGGTTGCTCTTGTATTCCGTAGCCTCCCAAAAACTCCACCTCCTTGACCCGTCATCGTAGATACAGCGTCAGTCGTGATAGCCACGAGCCTCTTCCTAACATAATCGTATGGAGAAATTGCAAGTTCAGGAGATTCTTTTCACGTTAATCTCTCCTTCAGCTAGGAAAGTAAGGTCTCGATTATGCTCTCACCCGTTTCGCATGCCATTTCAGTGATGAGCAAGTAGAATGTGCAGGGGTTAAAAGACGGAGTTAGCGTGCGAATCATATAGACCATCCACTTCGTACCTCTAGAAGAAGAGGATCCATTCATAAGAATGGAAAAAGAAAGATCATTATCTATGAGATGTTTAAGAGCTCGTACTCGATGTGTATTGCAAAGTTGTTTATCATGCGCTTTGCAGTTGTACTTCTTAATGCGCCGTGCCTATACGAGAACCGCGTATCAACGCAAACATCATAAGCGAAAACTGTGAAGACAAAGGAAGCCCTTGCTTAGCTATGGTGTAAGCTGAAGGCGTTGCTGTTATCGTGGCGTCTACTGCGAGTTTTGATATTCATAGCGCTGTGCTCCAAGCGCAACGAATTACATTTTTTCCGATTCTTTGTGCTGTGGTCATCGAATGACGCGTTACAGTTCGCGTCAAACCCACGTGTCAGCGGCAAACGTATTTTTCTAACCTCTTGACACACAGAACCTTACCGAAACCCATCAAGTTGTACGATCGCTCTTTAGACTGCGCTGGCGTTACAGTAGAGCAATGCTGGAACGGACAGCCTCCTGTTTCAATGGATGCTCTCTGTTGCAAGCTCTGCACCGCAGAAACGAGTTCATTTCGTTCGTTCTGTCCACAACTACTTGCAGACAAGGATACTGCTTGAGCGAGCCATCTGATTTCAAGTAAAACGGATACCAGCGTCTTTGAGATTACGCACTTTTACTGCAATGTCAGTTTTTTATCCATCTCTTTTCCAGCTGCACTTCAGCAAGCTGTGCAGCTGCCTTGCGCAGTTCTACTTGCTCTTCCAATTGTTTAGACATCTTTCACTCTGGCAACTACAGTACACGCACTTTGTAAGCGCTCCTCCCCTTTCAAAAGTCTTTCTAGCGTTAGCTGAGAACCTGACCTGCTTGCGAATAAAGTCTCTACAGTAGGCTAGAACTGCGGAGTTAGCTGAATTTCTTCTGTGCCTGGCTGTGCTGTGGTCAGGGCAACCGTTGAAGGGTCAACATCCATGAGTACATCGAAATGTGGCTTATAGAAGTCCACTACGTCCATCAGTATATTTTCAGAAGCATCGGAAATATCCTCTGCAATTTCCTCTTCTTGCGCAATATCTGTGACAGATACCTTCACCAAGTACTCTGAATCCTCATCACAAAAGTTGTCACTGCGGGCCTTTGTTTTTAGACACGGAAACATGCGGTCATTTTGCTGCGAACAGCGGAAAATAGACTTTCCTTTTTTCAGGAAAGTAAAATCAGACGGCAGGACATAAGATACTTAGGGGTAGCATGCGAGAAAAGGTACCTTAAAGGCACCGTCCACCCAAAATTTCGATCTTCATGTTTTTGCCGTTCCAGGGCCTTCTCATACCTCTGATTCCGAATATTAAGTCTAAAACACGCGAAAACCACGAAAATCCCCGTTTTCAGAATCTTCAGAGCGATTTCTTCGATACGGTGATTGGTTGGGCGCACACAGATGGGCGGGACGAACGTCACGCCCACACGAAAGGGGAGGAGTCAACGTCGCGAACGTTACCTGAAGCGATTCCCGAAGCAATCTTCTCGCTTCGGAAACTTTAGGCAGCGCGAGTTGGGCAATCATACAATTGAGGCCCCGCAGCTGCTAGGTATCATAATCTCACCAACCCAATTTGGGTGGAAGGTGCCTTTAAGCGATGCAGTGGAAGGGCGACTGTGCCGTCGAGGGAAGGGGTCAAAATTACAATATCTTTCGCTCTTGATGAAAGCCATTCTTGTTTTTCTTCTGTTATCTGCAACTTCTCTGGTACAAAATATCTGTTGTTACGAGAGTCGAATTAAAGGTAGCTGAACTCTCGTGAAAAAAAATGAAAATAATCCATTTCCCCTTCTCTTTTCGTGATTGAACTTCAAGAGAACATAGACTATTTAGCCTTGTGATAGCTCTTTCACGCTCGGAATAGGCAAGGCAATAGAGGACGGTGTCTCTCAAGCCAGGAATCTGTCTAGAAATCCTTGTCTCTCTAAGCAATTTGATGAGGTGCACATCAACCAAGACGCGATGATACTTGAGGCACTTCCTGTTGTTCACAATGTGGCCAGTTTATCAAAGACCCACATTTGCTGCCGAGATCTGTAGTGTATGTATTCCATGTGGTAGCTTTCTCAGCACAATCACTGGGCTGTACAGAAGGCCAACGCTGCAGCCCACCAACAACGAAGAACGCTCTAAAAATGTCAGGAATTCTACGAGCTTCTTTTCTTGTATTCTCCTCTCGATGTTGCTTTGGCCAAAGAGATCTTGCAAATATCATAGGCCTCTTCATTTCGAAAGTAAGATGGTCTCCTTTCTGTAAACATCATTAAGTTTTGAAGAAAACAACAAAAAGCAAGATTCGCCTCTTTCGATTTAGTGTTGAAAACTACAAGACCATAGTCGCTGACAAGGAGGTCGCGCATGGCTTTGCGATCAACTCGGCACTCTTCTGGAACTTGCAGTTCAATGAACTGCATTTCGTTGGTATTTGAAAACGTTAGATTAGATATCTTCATGTAGGGTACGCAGGAAGTAACAATATCCGACAAAACCAGTTTATTAAACCAAATCGGAGATAGTAAGGCGGATACTCGGGACGAGTACAGTCGACACTGGCAGCACTTGGTTGCCTCATAAACTCTGACTTACAAAAAAGACAATGGAAATATGCTAGACACATGTAGAATGTCAAATACCATATTCTGAGGAGTAACATCTATATGTACAGGATTGCATGATAACAAACCTACGTAAACAACAATGCATGTTTACCGATAAACGTTGCGCATACCAACTTTATCCATCATTCCTTGCTTATACTACTGCCCTATGAACTTATTTTCCAGCATCTAAACATTCTTTACTCCAATCGCTTCCCTGCCTGCGGCGGGTGTTCAAATCGGAGTTTTTGTAATAGGAGAGTAACAAATTAGACTCGTTTTCAACGCATAGGTAGCGATATGGAACCAAATTTGCTGTGTAATTGGACAACCCGAGTATAAAAGAAGTATGAACGATTATGAGAAACTTTTGTGAATTCAAAAAGTGGTAAGTGTTTTTCGAAATTAGGTTGCTCCCGCGCCACCTGAGAGCCACCTGGGGTGGCTCCCTGCTTCCCTTCACATAATTTTCCGGATTGTTTTACATAAATCTGGTTTAGGTCGATAGTATTACTGCAAGTTGAAATCCCCTTTCAAAACCCTTAAGGCACCGCTCTGATACAGCCCCACATACCTTTCAGAGCGCTATAATCGGTCTTCATAAGCGCGCTCCAGTCGCAGTCGGTGCACCTTGCAAAGACGACGCGGAAACTTTGAGAATTTGACTTATTGCTAGCCTAATAATCGCTAAATCGCTTTTCAAATTTAAAACGATTGCTTCTTCGATTCAAGCCGTGCAAGAGCTCGATATGACCAGCGGTCACATTTGGTTGCGATGTTCTGTGCAAGAAGTTGTTCCACAAAATGTTTTTCGAGTTTCCGCAATTCCGTCAATTGTCCTTATTTTGTCCTCTGTTCGTCGTTTGTTTTCTTCTTCTTCCTTTATGCTCGTTATTGCAGCCATGATGTCATCCGAAGTTGATAGAAAGTTTTTGACAAAATCGGATGTAAAATCGGTGGACCTCCATCCCACAGAACCGTGTCGGCAGCTCTTTACAGTGGGGACGTTTGGATAGCGTATGAATGCTGATCAGCAAGCGAGGAACTCGCGTGTGGATTTTCACTCAATAAGCTCATTTTGTATGTTTAAGTCGTAAGCGCGCATGCGGCGCAGTTGCAAAAGGGAGTACATGATTAACACAGACTGTATCTGATATGGTCCAGCAAGTTGACTACCGATTTCTTGGTGAAATTGCCAATCTGTTCTTGCTATATCTGAACTCACAAATTCGGCATATCTTCTCTTGTAATCCATCGTCATCCACAAACTTGCGCATTTTCGATATGTGATCTACCTGTACGCTGCCAAGTATATCCCTCGTAAAAGATGGATCGTTACCGGGTCAGATGATATGCACGATCACTGCACTTCGCTCTTATTTCAACAATTTGAGGCCCACTCGGACTGCCTCAGGTGGGTGGAGTTGGGCGATTCATTTCAGTATGTTAGCTGACGTAGAATTCTTGCATTTTTTCTTTAAGTACTTAAGAATTTTTTTGTGTTTGCTTTCTTTCTCGCCTCTACTAGGGTTATGCGCAGTCAGGAGAGTCGCCAAGATTGAGGCCTTTGCTCACCATTGAGTTTCCTCCTTCTTATTTCTCGTGTAAAACGCTTTTTTCTTTCTCCTATTAAGGTTAAGCTAATCCTCTGAAACGATTTTGTAAAGTGTAGTCCAACTTTGGGCCTAGTGGCAACCAATTTGTGCACAGGCTGCAATCTGAGGAACGTTCGCTCCATGCACAGCTCTAAATTAAAGCGTTGGCGACCAAGCCGTCCATTTTGGGCGAAAGTCCCATTAACGTTTCTGTTCTGGGGCGCGATCTAAACCTACTTAAAGGCGTGTCCGGCAAAAACTCAATTTCTAGAAAACCCACTTACCGGGGGTTATCCGCAACGCTGAATCCGAAAATCCACATTAGAAGGCGCGAAAACGGAGAGAACTCGGAGAAAACGGAGAATTCAAAGCCTTACAGTTTGAAATTCGACGGTCCCCGCAAGGTACAAATGCAGAGTCCCTGCGGGACCCTACAATTTATTTCGACTGTGGCGGCATGCGTACTCTGCCGCATAGCAGGAATTCGAACAGGTTGGAGGACCCCGCCCCAAGGTGTATGTTTCCCTACTTTCTGGTTGATTTTCTTGCTTTAGGTCGAGCGTTAAAGCCTCGCACTTGCGCGATGCTGTGTTCCAGGAGGGCCACTTTCGCATGGCACTGAAATCCCAACCCCCCCCCCCCAACTTGTCCGGACACTGCCTTTAAAGGCTGCGTGGGCGGACAGAACAGATTTGGCAGTCGTTGCAATTTTCAACTACAGTATGCCGCCGCCATTCACAGAGTGTTCGTGGCGGGACTCAGTGTTGTCTGTTTCTGTTTAAAAAGATTGTTGCGCGCCAATACTTCCTCATTTTCAATCTTTAACGTAGCTTTTATTCTTCGCTTGTTCTGTTTTCTTGCGCTTACGATTTAGAATTTGCAGAACCTGTCATATGAATGTCGAGGGCTGTCCCTCGCCGGATGGGTGCAACACTTTTGCGTGGGTCCACTGCAAATGGCCCAGTCACTAGCGAGAATGCGAAAGCTAATGGTAAGTTAACTTCATTGTTTCTATCACCCTTTTGGATGTCATGCAGGAGGAGGCAAGCGGCAAAGGCTAGCCACCTCTGCTTTTGGAAGTGCCTATGTTATGCAGTACATGTTGAATTCAACTGATCAGAGGCTTTGGGTTTTGTTGTTTTATTATCATGCAGCCTAGTGCCGAAGTATCACATAATTTTGAGCGTTCATTAAGGGTTCAAAATGTGCAGCTTGAATTGACTGTCAGGATCAATTTCACTACATAAGCTGCCCTAATCATGTGTTTTTTCAGTGTCAAAGGAGGAATACCTACTCAGACAGTCGAAGGGATACCTCCGGCGGGCATATGGCGCGAGTCTGCCACTTCGCGCTCCGGAGTCCTGCCATTTCACGCATTTTTGTGCCCTGGGGCTCTCCCAAAAGTGGTGCACCTCCGGAGCAGAAATTTGCGCGTCGCGATGAGAGGTCCCATTCATTCACCGTGACGTCGCGGTGACGTCACAAACAGGACGAATGGGACCCCTCTCCGCGACGCGCAAATCTCTGCTCCGCAGGTGCGCCACTTTTGGGAGAGCCCCGAAGCACAAAAATGCGTGAAATGGCAGGACTCCGGAGCGCGAAGTGGCAGACTCGCGCCATATGCCCGCCGGAGGTATCCCTTCGACTGTCTGAGTAGGCATTCCTCCTTTGACACTGAAGAAACACATGATTATGGCAGCTCATGTAGTGAAATTGATCCTGACAGTCAATTCAAGCTGCACATTTTGAACCCTTCATGAACGCTCAAAATTATGTGATACTTCGACATTAGGCTGCATGATAATAAAACAACAAAACCCAAAGCCTTTGATCAGTTGAATTCAACATGTACATAACATAGGCACTTCCAAAAGCAGAGGTGGCTAGCCTCAAAATGCGTGAAATGGCAGGGCTCCGGAGCGCGAAGTGGCAATCCTCCGCTGAGGAAAGCCCGCGACCCTGCCACTTCTGCTCCGGAGGTATCGACTGTCTGAGTACGTCGTCATGCTATTTTTGCGCGCTTCAAAGAGCCGTCCATCACATTTGATGTGAGTTGTGTCCTAATTCTTGTATATTTACCACTAGCTGGTTGCCCCGGTCTTACCCGAGACTTCAAGTTAGTTAAGCCAACATAACTTGCAAACTTACGCCTCTAGATTTCTTATAACATGCGCATAAAGCGCTTTCAGACTAATTGCCGCACCCTATCGCCTTTAAGACTGAAATGGACTTTACCGCCCCTGCTTACATGCTTACTCAGATAATCGCCGGGGGCAGGCGGTCCGCAAACTCGCGCTTTTCTGCAGGCGGTCAGCAGAATTTTGGGGCGTGGCCAAACCTTCAGCGGGCGGTACTTCCGCGTTCTGCCAGCGGGCAGCAATACAGAATTTTCTGCGAGCGTTCGTCAAATAATATCTTCCAGCGAGCGCTGGCCAAACTTTCAGCAAGCGCTCGGACTCTTTTTAGGTATTTTCGGGCGTACGTCGAGCACAGGTAAGACTCTGTGTGGTAGAGCTGTCACCGTTGGTTTAATTACTCAAGTTTGAGGTACTTTCTCTCAGCGGAAAGTACCTGGGGGTTGCGCGGTCCTCCACAAAGGACCGTGCGGCCCTCAAAAATTTTGCATATTCTCGCGGAAAGTCCGCGAGAATGCGGCCACTGCGCCGCAGCTAATCCATAAAGAAACCGCGATTGTTCTTCAAGCATTCGTCTTTAATTTTGCCAACTTTCTTCCAAATTTCTGCAAGCGGGCCGCAAAAAATCAACGAACTATTTTTCCGGTGCGCGCTTGCTCAAAATTCGCATGGCCGCCTGCCCCCGGCGGTTATCTGAGTATATGTAAAAATGATCGGTTGCCATGATGGCCCTTCATTTTCTTAGGTTTGAGTAAACAAATCAATAAATCGATAGAATGGCCCGGCGAATCGCCGCGGAAAGTAGCTGTAAACCACCGCCGAGGACGAAAACATACGTGTGCGAAGTTTCAGCCGGATCGGTTCAGTGGCGCGCGTTTCTATAATGAACGAACAACTAAACGAACATCCTCACAGACATTGAGTTAATATATATATATATATATACATATATATAGATTTTTCATTAACTCATGGTGCCCAACCATGTCTAATCAGTGAGGCTTTGTCCACATATATTTAACAATCTTTTTTCTCTTGTAATTCGTGATGTACCGTAACCAGTATAACTTCTCAAAGCCAAGAGATTTTTGGACCGTTTGTATAGTGACTGAAATAATCAATGCAGATATGAAAGGCATTGTTAGCGCCACCTTATGAGTAGTACTTTGTCTGGGAACGCACAAATCCTGAGTACAATACATCTGATTGATCCTTGTTGCGCTGTAGTTATACAAATTCTGAATTTTGTATCACAGGAGCCTAATCATTTTCCAGGAGTACTGCTGCCGTGTTCTCGGTGGTGGAGAAGATGAGCAAAGGGAATTGTTCAAGTTTTGCTCCGCGAATTCTAGGACGTTATCATGACCTCTTTTGACAGCGCTCGTAGTCTTGTGTTGCATCGAGCAGGTTCAAGAGCGTAAGTTCTATTTCCTTTACCTTCTCATATTGCAAATAGTCATTTAGTTTTACAAAGTGATTTCTACACATATTCATGTATCCGTCATCCAAGTTATAAGCTGGCTGCAATTGTATTCGCCAACAAATCAGGCTCTTCCCCTCTCATTCTCTGAAATTGTGTTGCAAACGTGTGCAAGCAATTTCCGCTCTTTTTTTTGTCTTGAATGCATAATTCATCACGAACTGTGTTTCATAATGCAAACAAAGCATCTGTGTTTTTCTTTCAATGTAATCATATTCTCCAGCTGTACTTCTCTACTATCAAGGTACGTCATACAGCTACAGCATGAATTTTGACAAAGTTTTGTTGAGGGAAACAAACAGTTGAAGAGAAGACAAAGCGAAACTAGTGTTTCTTAGATTTCGTCGAGGTCCAAAAATTCTCTTGGGGGGCTCTAACTACCACTACTTACAATTCCTATGAGCGATTATACATGTCATTTTACGAAGTGATGTCACATGTGACACACTGTAAGTGTTCTTGATATCGAAATAACAGCTTTTGTGCTTTTTCTTTTTGTTGTCACTAATTGTAGTCTACCTGTACAGCATCTCGAAGAAGTTGTGGAGTTAGAAAAAACATTTGCGACCGACCATCAGCGATAGATCTACAGTCTGCCCCAATCCTAACCAGGCCAAAATCGGCATGGCGCGACTTTCGCGCCACATCTGCGGCTAGCTAGTCTGCTCTCTCCTCGATCTCTTCACTCTTGCGACAGCGCGCGTATGCAGCGCAATCCCCTAGCGCTGCGAGCGCGCAAATTTGGTCGACGGTTCGGGATCCCGATTGGGGCAGACTGTATGTGTAACGTTTCAAAAGATCTACTGGATGAAGCACTATGAGGAATCTTCCCCATGAATTTTGTTGATCATATTTTTTTCTACTTATCCTTACTTTTTGAGGGAGTGGTTTCAACTTAACAAAGTTGTAGTTCCGCATAAATGTATAAACGCTAGAGTTAATGTAAAGTGATTTGTGTCTATAATTTGCTGCAATCATCAGCGTGGTGCTTACCTCAGCTGAAAAGGTTGGATTTTGGGGGAAGATTCACTTCGTTTCAGTGATGGCAGAGAGTAAAATAACTTTGGACACTAGAAAGAAGGGAGATCGAGCAAAAGAAAAGAGAAGCGGGTGGTTGCTACTCTATATGGTTTTCTTTTTCTCTTCCGGTTTTTCGACTTAATCAGTTCACTTAATTGTAGAGCAGTGCGTATTTCGGGAAAAAGGATCGCGTCTTACGTTTACACGGGGTGCGGCAAAAATGTCTGCCATCTCGATGATCATTTCTTCTAGAAACACAATCTCAAAGAAGACGAGATAGCAGAACTGAGAAAGGAACGAAAGGCTGATTTAGAAAAAGGTTGCCCGCTGTGTGGCCGCAAATACAAGTGCAACTGGTCTCTGAGGAAGCATAGGAAGCATATGCAAAAATGCTGTCCTTGCGAACAGCCGAACTATGTGAAACGGGTGAAGTGCCCAAACTGTGACTTTATGATGCCGAATATCACCGATTTGGTGTACCATTGCACAGGCAACCACATGGACATTAGCGACAATTGGGGAGTATTCAAGGTGGGTATAATATGAGTAAAGAAGGTCTCGGTATAATTTGCATGGAACCTTTGTAGCAGAGGAAAAAGGCAGCCGAGGAGCGCACAGGCACAAGTTTTGTGCTGAAGTCGAAAAAAACAGAAGATGTGGACCACATTGCTTATTATAAGTGCCATCGATCGGGCGTCATGAAGGCAGCACAACATACGAAACACGCAGTCAGCCACTGCACCGCTTTCGTTACAGTAGGTGTAAACAATGTGGCTAATGCCTTGCATCACAATGATTGTAACAGTCTTATTTTCAAGCTAAATCGTCCACCACTGATAGCCGAATACATATAAGCTATATAAGCTACTCTTTGGCCCACATAGGACACAAAATCAAATATGCTCTCCTGCGCTCGGACGAGGAAGCTGAAAATGCAGCAGCAGAGTTCTTAAAACAAGGGTTGACCACAACGCAGGTGAAAAGAAAGATCAGAGAAAAGTCTAGAGGTGGCGGAGGCCTGACGGGAACCCAGAATAGGCTTGTTTTTCATTACGACCACTGACATAAGGTCGGGTGGCTTTTGTTGATTGGGAGATTTTTCCTGTTAACATCTTCAGAGCTATTGCAAGAAGAAAAAATTAATAAGAGGACGTTCGCACGAAAGTGCGAACGTCCTCCTATTAATTTTTTATCCTATCCTTTTTTATCCTTATTTTTTTAAATATCCTATCTTTGGAATCTCGTATAAATTCGAACGATGTTGGCGACGGGCTGGTGTTTTACTGGCAGGTAGAAAACTCGAGTGGAGACGGATTTTGCCTCAGTATCGTTTCTACTTAGCAAGTGATCGCCCTTTTCACAACCCTTCTCTTCAGTAATGATCAATTTGCAGCAACAGCGTGCCTGCAAGATTTTGCCTATCGCGGTATAGGCATAGACGATACTTTCAAAGTGTCGAAGTACCACCTCAGGCTCGCAACTATGATAGTCGTTGACAATTGCGACAAGTCATTACCTGCTGCTTCCCCTCTGAGCGTTAGGGTTTTCGTCATTTGATGTTTGTTTAGAATTCCTCAACCAACCAATTTAGAATGTCCGAAAACGAGCTTATTGTGCTCTTCGAGGAAGTTAGAAAAAGTACCAAATTTTGGGCCGAAATTTTTCATGAGCTTCGTTCTTTTCTCAACGCGTTCGCGAGAGCATTTTCGGGAGTGTCTATTAAAGAAAAATGGCAAATGGCACATTCAACGTGCCAGTAGAAGAAGCACCACAATGATACTGCGAAACGTGAGTTTTTGCTTGTTTCCCGCAGGGTGCTAGTCCGCTAATTTAGAATGGCTTGAAAGAAGAACTAAGTTGGCGGGTGTAGGGCGTATGCGGTTCTCCCAATGCGCAGGAGTTCACCAAACGATACGGCAGCTACTCAAGTTTTTTACTAAAGAAGGAGAAGATGAGATGATGAATCATATGCACACTTAGTAGTCAGCACCTCCCCTGTTGCTTTATTGTGCTTCCTATGGCAACATTTTCAAAGAACTCGTACCATTCAGGGCACATAGAATCCACGAGTGGTCTGCACACTGCCGTAAAGGCAGTGTCATGCACACATCAATGCTGTGTGAACGATGGCATCGCCGATTGAAAAGAGAATTGGCCTCAAAAACAAAGATCCGATTGGACCACTTGGCTGATGCTTTGACTACTGCTGTGAAAGAGTCCTACGAAGAGAATTCTGTTACGGTAGGAAAAAACGACCTTTTTTCCATGCTAAATTCAACTTCAGGAGGCACGCAACCTGGTTGAAGGAGGTTGCCGACTGCAATGCCAACACGTCAACCACATGAAAGCTGTAAATGCTTATTCACACATGCAGTCCGCAATCAGCAGAGTAGTGGAGGCAGGACGGTGGGATATACGAGCCATAAAACTGGGAGAACGTATGCAGTTGAGCAGAGCGCCTGTTCTTGTGCAGAGGCCAGCTTTATACTATGGATGTATAATAGATGAAGTGTTAATCAGATCAAAAATCACTGTCGCAAATCAAATTACGGGGCTTGCCCGTACGCCTTCAACGATTGCAATATGGATAGAAAAGCCGGGATAAGCTGCATCCACATACATGCGATTATGTTATATTCACGTCCAGGTAGGTGTTTGAGGACGCAGAGTTTTTGCGGCGATTACTATGAGAGATTACAGAGGACCGTTTGCCGTACATTGGAGTGCCAGAACCGGTGCGGAAACCGCAGCAGCATATACTGAAAGCACTGAGTTTATTAATGCGGATACTGTCAGCCATCTTCAAATCGAGATAGTAATCTAGAAACTCTCCACTTGTTAAAAATGGTAAGCTTGCTCACATGGTGACCTGTCTTATTTTTCTTTTACAGAAGTTCTACAACATCAAAGCCATGCTTATACGCAAAATCGACAAAGAAGGCGTCGAAGTCATCTTACAGAAAGCGCTTGAAACTTTTCTCGCATCGAAATCATGTGCGAAAGACTCCGAAAGAATCGGTGAAAGCGACATCGGTGAGATGGAAGTGTGTGGGCTTTGCTTCCTACGCGAGCCGCCAGGCCTTAATGAAAACGCCACCTTTTTTAGATGGACAAAGTGTAGTAATTGCCATACATGGACACAGAGAAATGCGCCGTCGTTGAAGCTGCTTGTGATATCCTGTTAAAAAGGAAGTCTCGAATACAGCGAGATTAAAGGTGAGAAGCTTTCAGAGGGTCAAGTCTCCAGTGTATCACAGGTATTTCAGGTTTCATTCGCTCTTTCTTCTTATTTTTGATTTAGATAATGATAAATGAGCGTTTATCTATGCTTGTGGTCGTGTCATTCAGGCATTTCAAAAAGTAAGCTTAAGTTGCAGTACTTGTTTGTCGGAATCTCACTCGTTACTTTAGTCTTTGAAGCAGAAACATGAGGTTCTGTGCTCTTAACTGCGGAAGGGCCTAAGATACTCGATGAAGCTCCTATTAAATTGCATCTACCATTTTATATGTCATCAGCAACTCTGAATTATTTTTCCAAATCTGTCTTTCCCTTAAATGTTTCATTTGACATATTCGGGTTGTTTTGCTTGTTATAAGGTTTTTCATCTCATCTTTTTCGCTTGCAGGGCTTTCTTGTTTGTATGATGTCAGCATTCTGATGTCGAATGGACTCGATCTCCCTGGTCCGATGTCTTCTCTGTCCCGTAAAAAACTTGTCTTCCCGTTCTTCTTGATCGTCTCGACCTCCTCGATCTACAAAACCCTGACTTTTTCTTCTTATCTCCTTGCACTTCTTTTTCTCGATCTCGATTCCATAGTAAAACTTAATTAAGTTCCAATTTCTAAAACTTACATGAGCAGCTTTCTATTTCTTCTGTCTCATGACAGAGTCATGATACATATGGCAAGTATTGCATGATTATTTTTTAGCTGTACTTTTCAACTTTGGTAGATAGGTAATTGGTAAATCCTATCCATAAATGTTCAGAATCTTTCCTATCTCTCATTGCAGTGGTGAGGACTGTGACGATTTTGTAAGCATTAGTTTTCTCAGTACTCTTCGAGTTCATGAGTATTCAGATTCTCCGACTTCATGCAAATTAATATTGCATGATCTTGAACAGACAAACTTCTAATCGTAGCAACATGTTTTGTGCTCCTCTGACAAACTCTTACGTAAACACTCAATGTTTACAACATCTATGGCAGTCGATACATTAGCGTACCAGAAGTGGGAGGAAACATTAGGTTGTCCTCGACAATACATTTCCGAAAAACAACTAATTGAGCTCAGAGATTACTTCCTTTTATTCCGTTCATCTCGGCAATCATTTTCGAAACAACAAAAATATGCTGCCAAAAGTACATCACTCTCTAAAATCTAATATATAAAGAATCGTAAGCGCAATTTAAAAATGTGCAAATAGCGGGAAACCGCGTGGCGGTCCCGAAGCGAACGCTCTTCCAAATAGCACCTTTAGATTACTGGTCCACTAGTAAGGAGTAAAAACTGGCATCAACCAAAAGAGGACTATATACGAACAAATAAAAGCTCATGGAACGAAATGTTAACTGAAAACAAGGTAGCGTGCGCCTTTACTGGCTAGAAAGAAAAATGAGAAAAGGTAAACAAATGCAGTCGTTAAAAACATTTGCAGCTCTCATTATGCACAATTTAGTCTCTAACAAGTTGACGAACGCTCATATGCACGCCCGAAACGGCGATGAATGTTATCTGCGTTTTGCCCAAAATGCTCGGTCGTCAGGTGTTAAACAAGGACCAGAAGAGAGTAATTTACCTACGCAAAAGTCAAATGTAGTTCGCGACGGCGAGCATAGGGGATCACTGCTTTGATGAATCAGTTCACGTGTGTAGTCCCCTGCAATAAATTGTAGGTTCAGCGTACTTACAGCTACGCAAAGAACTTACCTGGTAAACATCTTTAGTTCGTTTGCAGAAACAACACACCTCCTACTTGAAAGTGGATTATGTCTCTCGTTGGCGCAGAAAACTCGCAGGAGTAGTGGAGTTTTCTAGCTTAAGTGCTAGAAAAGATGAACGAACATCATCCAGTATCCCTTATCCCTATCCATAGGCTTTTCTAGGTTAACAGCAACTCGAGAAACTACCATGGCCATCATACAACCATCTATGTTCATAGCGAACTGCCTTCACAGATGTAGAGAGAGAGAGAGCGCAACACTCCGCAAATTGAAACAAGTCAGAACATGCAGAGGAAGCGGATAGAACGCTTATAGCAGGCTGTTTCTTACAGGTCACACTCACTATGTCATGCGAGTTGCGTTTAACACGAAGGATACTAAAACTTTTGCCACTGCTTCATTAGATAGAACAGTCAGGGTTGGTTTCAGTTTAGTCCACATAGTCAACTTACCCTAGCACTCGTGGAATAGCGATCAATATCTTCTACGTACTTTATAGGTTTGACATTTTGGTAGTTAACAGGCCACACTTTGGAAGGACGTAACGAAGGGGTGAGTCCCCTCTCAAAGTGCCGATAACTTTGAAGTCAAACTGAAATGATGCAGCATGTGTTCCTAAATCTTTCGAACTTCCTTTTCATCTTCTTTGCTCCGTTCCAGATAACACTGTTGGTGCGTTATTTACTTCTGACATTATCAGTTAAATCCAGAAGATTCGACTCAATTCATTCCCATGGTCATCTTCCTGTATTATCAGGTTAATTGTGTCGATTACTACCACGTACATAGAAGATAAGCTATACCTGATCTCTGGGGCACAGAGCAGAGACCATCTTGTAAATATTGGGATTATCAAGTTGGTTATCTAGGTCTCTTACTTTTGCTTTCTGCTGAAAGTTTTCATGTTTTATAGACCAAGAGCGTACACACACTGGATGGACAAGGTTGTCATCCGTGTGTTTCCATCCAGAACTGTCACTTATCATTACGGGTAAGTCTTGTACAATTTCGCAATGTCATGCATAAGTCTTGCGGTTTTCCAGGTAGTGAAGATTGCACGGTTCGATTTATCAGGTCGGGACATTCAAGTTAGCGTGTAACTTTCTCGCTCCACTATAGAGCTGAGTGTAGTTTTATCGGTTAGTTTGCGGCTATTGCTTGCTTTAATTTTAGATTTCTAACCTCTTTTGCTTACAACCTCGGTAGAGTCTGAAGTGCCAATTGCCTTCAAGGCCATGGAGTGCTTGTCATTCGATACGACCAGGGGATCCTAGTACTAGGTGAACTTGAGCTAAATTTCGCATGAGGTATTCTCTCAGATCTGCCCCATTCGAGAAGCAATTTCTTCAAACGAACGAGACAAGAACAAGCTTTCTCAGCTCGCTCAGAAAAACGAAGAATGATCAAAGGCAAGCTGCGTTACAAATCAATTCTCCAGGTAGGTCACCTCTGTTAAGTATGTCAGATGGCTCCTTTGGGTTTGTCAGCTGTTCAGACCCTATTCCAAGTTTTTGTGTGCACTTGCACTTGCACTTTGTGTGCACTTGTTGATGGTGCTACTACTACTTTCTCCCGCACAAAGCCAGTATACTAAAGACCAAAGTAACGCTAGTGTGAGTCTGACAAAAATTTGACTCGACTCTAGTCTCGGATATCAAGTGCAAGATTCCAAAGCCACTTGATTATCTTGAAAAACTTAGAAAACGTGGGAAACAAACTTAAAATGGTAATTTTTATCTCACCACATTCATACGTTAGTGTGATGAAATCCTTTTCAGGGAGAGCCAAACAATGACATTATGGAACGCATCACACCACCTACGGTCAAACTGGTAAATAAAGAAGGCAAAACATACACCATTCTCGAGTTTCTCATTCCAATCGCCGAGTATGGATTTCTTTAGCTAGAGAAGAAAGTAATTCTCGCGTACAAACTTTTTCACTTTTCAGTTAGTACATTTCTTAGGACGCGATGGCATGTACCGAATGTTATGAAGTTGGTGATATGTATAATGTTGCCTGTTTATTTTTGTTTTGTATATTGTGAAGTTATGTACCTAAGGACTAATAAATGAAGTCTATCTATATGGCCGTCTATTTATTTGTGTATATTACCTGTTACGAAATCAGGGGGGAGGGGAGGCTCAAAAGTAGGGTCAAAGAAGAAGTCGTAAAATTTGGGCTTTAAAGAGGATATCGTTTCCAGAATACCAGAATGCAACCTTCTGCCGGGTCCTGCTACCATAGAAAGACATTATCCTGGTCATATAGCCGTATAAGTCCACGTTTGTGCTCACTCAATTGAGCTAAATAACTGTCTGAAACTGCCAGCTATAGTTGGGAAAATTCGAAATTTTTCATCGAATGAATGAATATAGAATGATTTCGGAAACAAAAAATTACGAATAAACGAATGTCAAGAAATTCAAAATTTTAGAAATCTGAATGAATGAATCCCGAATAAGATTCGAAAATCAAGAATATTGAATGAATGAATATCCATGTATTCGAACACTGTGAGCCGAATCTCGAATAAACTATCCAGAGCTAACATATTCAGAACTTGTTGAACACTACCATATTCAGAATTTGTTGTACAAACTTGGTATAGGCCGATTCATACACGAGATGTTAATTACCCTAATTTCCGGGGTATAAGGCGCAGTAGCTTTCACCGCGCGCTGACTGATTATGATGACGTTCGCGATGCGCGGCGCCGCACAAGCAGCCAACAGCAACCTCTTCGACCCGGCAGTAGCTTTTTGCTCCCGTTCTTTGCTGTTTTCCTCTAAATAGTGATTTGTCTCAGAACAAATCTCTACCTTCTCTATTTTTCTTCAAGAAAGACGAGAACAAAACAAAAACAGCACCTTCAAAATACCAGTAGTATCATTGTACAGGGAAGCACAGTTTCAGTACCAACATTATTGGAAACGAAGGAAAGCTTAAATGTAGCACCGATAACATCATTCGAAACAAAAGAAAGAATCATTCAAACATGAACACCGAGAACACCTTCATCCCATTAGTAGAAACGGTATTACAGTGTACATTCTGAAAAGATTTAAAAAAAGTACTGAAAGCACGATCTATGCGCAGTGAAGGATAATCACAGCACACATGTATTAACCTTTCTAGATTTAGAAAGGAATCATTTAGAAAGCGTTATCGCGCCACTGTTCCCTGCGGCGGGTGCGCCTTATCCAAGGTGCGCCTTATACCCCGGAAATTAGGGTATCTCGTAGTCCAGTTCCTGGAGAAGGCAACAGATGCTAGCACAGATGCACAGTTTTTGGGTCATGATCTGTGAAGTCGCGCGCAGCTGCACCTAGAGGACATAGAATCGTGCATATTAGTATCGTTGTACTTAGCTTGCTTCAGCTATTTTCCTTGCTGTTTAGTCTTGCCTTCTCTCAGTTCGTTAAGATCCCATTTTGATACCATTTTGCTGCCTGTATATTCGAGTTTGTTGTTGCCTTTTCGAAACAAAACAACATTTTAGCATAAAGGTCTTCAACGCGAATTATATTTCAGGATCCTCTAAAAGGTTTGATCGTTCGTTGTCTAAAACAGGTGTTTGTGTATAGTGCTTCGTTGAGCCCAAAAAGAGTTAGCTAATTCACTTTTGAGATCTAGTCAAGCATGTTTGAAAATGGCCACTTCACTTGGGTGGCTCAAAATTGGGAACCCTCAGAATTTGCTAAAATTTGGCCCACAAGGGTTATTTGAGATGACAACTACGGTTAGTAATTAAGCTTGGTAAAGCCTCTATGTCATGTCTACGGTAAGCAAACGATAATACTGGGGAGGGGGTATTGAGACAGAAATTACGCCTCTCAAAGGCAGCGTCCCGGCAAAATGATAAGTGCCGGTTTTTGTGGCGATATTAAAGTAGATCCTTACTGGCTGTGGCGAGGCTGAAGTTCGGAGCGAAGAAGAGGTTCTACCAAGGCCTGAAGTTTGCTCCGAAAGTGGCCCGAATCTTATGGTCGCGCTGCAAACTTTGTCATCGCTTAGTTAGGGGGTCTACTATTACATTACTACCAGAGCCAGGTACCCTCACTTTGGTGGGACTGCCTTTAAGGTTCACAGCGGACTAAGGGTGTATACGTGACTTTATATGTGTACGTGTACATATATATATATGCGTGTGTATGTGGATGTGTATGTGTATTTGTACGTATCTCTGTGTATGTGTGTGTTTATGCAGCTAACTTCATAGAGCGAGTTCCAGCTAAAATCTTGTGATAAAATTTTGATAATGGTCAGGGCTGATCAGATAAGCGGGACCTTTGGAGATTGTGCGGTAAATGAACCCATGCGGCTTTTAGTCTACATAACTGGTCTGTATCCAAACTTTTTGCAATTTTATACATGTGCCATGAGTGTCTTCAAGTCACTAGTTTTAGCATAAACTAGAAGTTTTTAACACATTGGTGACCGCTTGACACACCATGTGTGTCAAGCAATGCCTACCACGTGGGACCGCTTGACACACATGGTGTGTCAAAGCTTGAACTTTGTTAAAATGACGAGTGTTTTGGTACAAACTTATTCTAGAAAGTTTTCTTTGGCTGTTAAAAGTTATGATTTTTCGAAAAAAAAATGCCGAAAAATCAATTTCTTAGGAATTCTTAGGAAAGTGATTTTTCGGAATTTTTTTCCAAAAAATCATAACTTTTGAAAGAAGAGCTGGATCAGCACAAACTTAACTCAGTTAGTAATCAAATATAAGAAAAATTAGGATAATGGCTTTGATTTTATCGCGCAGCTTCTAGATTTTTAGAATTTTTGCTCAAAAATTCCGAATTTCGGATGTTTTCGTTCTTTCATTTTTATTTCTGCAATCTGAACATGCTGGAAAGTCGCCAGGAGACTGTAGGGAACTACATGCTTCAAGCTTTCTAATAAAATTTAAGCTCAAAATCATCGTGACGGAAAGAAGTTGTGATTCTTTGAAATGCGAACGAACTTTCGGTTCAACCTAATATTTTTCAGAGCATTTTCACCTGAAAAAATGCTTTTTTGAAGAAGTGCTCACAGTAGTCATTGTCGTTAGGCAACTTCAACCCATAGGAAATTTGTAAGTAAGCATCTTTTTTGGCTTGGTTCTCAACGAACCACACTTTTTTGTCAACTCAAACCCGCGTATTCTTCGGCAATAAGGTGCCCTCTTTCTAAAGCTATGAATCGTATTGAAATTTCTCTAAATGAGTAGTTTTCAATTCGCGATGGTCAGCATTGCGCGGTGAGTTCCAAGGTTATCGTTATGCTCGCAACGAGGCATTTGCAAAGTGAAGCCAGTACGAGCCCATGCTGAGCAGAAGTAACGCGCTGGTAAGAAATGAGTCTTGCTACTTGTGCAATTTCGCAACTGCGACCTCAGCATCAGTAACCACAAGAAAGTCCCGGGTGTCTATAGTATACTTTGGACCGAATCGAATGATTATTCGATTATTCGAATCGATCATTCGAGTGCGAATGATTCGAAAATTCTCCTTTTCGAAAATGAAAATTTCTGAATATTATTCGAAAGTCGAATATTCGAAAATCTCAACTTTCGAATATTATTCGATAGTCGAATATACAAAGATCGATAATCCGATCATTCGATTTCCATCAAATATTCGAATATTCGATAAGCACCGAATATTCAAAAATTTGATAAGAATTGACTATTTGAAATCGATTAACATCGAATATTTGGAAATTCTTTATCCACAACATATACGGGATGTCCTAAGAGTATCTACACAGTATTTAATCGTTAATACCTCTCACGAAATCTTTCGCCAATCTTTGGGTAACATCCTATAATGGCTTCAGTTTACAAAACAACAAAAAGTGAATAACCCATGCTTTTCTTACTGTGTTATCGGGTAGGAACTTGCAGCATGAAGAGCAACTGCGAAATAAGACGTTAGAGACGTTAGACTTTATGAGTGTTTTAGCGCAAAAAATGATAGCGAATGCTCAGTGAAGTCAATGTTTATGTCATTCCAGCGCTAAAATAAAATGTTCAGTATTCAACGTTGGGCCATTTGCGCATTCTTGGATAAGTTTGTTCCCGTTGTGTGCAATTTTTTGAGCCAAAAAACGCTCATAAACAGCGTCTAAAGGTGCTTTGCAGATAACAATGAAGTTTTGAAATTGGCTTTAGATGGATGCTCTTTGGATTGGTACCATTTCATGTAGAAAGCCGATTTCGACTTCAGGCCCTACCCTTGTAATTTGATGTCAGCCCACAATCTACATACTGCTGGGATCCTTGTATATCAATCCACAACTCTGAATGAATATAGAATTTGTTTTGAAGTTCGAAAATCTCTTTAGAACTGTCACAAAAGTACGCTTCTAGGTTCTTTAGCTCTTCACTTCAACTCCAAATCGTTTTTTCACAGTAAATTGTTACATGAGGAAGTGTCTCCCCTTGATACTTACCAAAAACAATTCATTGTTAGATGTTTTGGTCTCCCATAGGCAGTCTCACTAACATAAATTATACGAATAGTATTCCGAATGATGTTCGAAAGGCGAATAATATTCGAGAAACGAATAATATTCGAAATTCGAACATCGGATGATATTCGATATTCGAATATAATTCGATTCGAGGATGTCTATTTTCGATTAATGTTCCATAGTCGAATATTCGAATTTTTCAATTTTCGAATAATATTCGATAGTCAAATATTCGAAAATTTCGATTTTCGAATATCAATAAATGTTCGAAAATTCAAAAAAAGTTTCGAATATCCCTATGTATAGTAGGCACCATCTGTCTGGTCCTTTCACTGTAACTGCACACAAAGCACTTCAGTAACACTAAGATATTCTTTTTGCATCTTGGAGTGCTTTCTGCCGAAACCTTACCTGGTCGGCCATATTTCGTCGCCTTAGCACT